ATTGTGGGCCCTGGGAATAACTTTTAATGGACATATGGTGAGTGGATGATCTTGTTGAGCATCATTATGTAAATAAATGAAATGATTAGTTCAGTAGCTCACAGTGATGAGTTTAGAATGGGTGAAAAATGCTTTAATAAAATAATTCCTTTAGGACATCTATGGAATAGGTGGAGAAAAAAATCAGGAATCATTTTTCTCACATTACTCTCAGTGCTTCCAAAGTCCCCCAAAAATGACCCCCGAAAAGTAGTGGTTGACTGAAAAGAAATCCCATGATTTAGGCTAATCTCTAATCTGGGGATTCCAATGCTCTCTGTGTTCCAACCCATCTTCTCACGTCCTCTGCAATATATATTCTCCTACATGTTTTGATACTTGTAATTGTAATGTGTGTCACATCCGAACAGGAACTTCCCTACGGTGTATGTACCAAAGTGATTACAGCAACGGCAGAAAGGATGTAATTGATGAGAGGAAATAAGACTCAAATCACTGACAACCATATGCCCACACAGGATGTCTTCATTCTGAATCTTTAACCCCCGCCAATACCCGTTTATCGCGGCACCATTCAAGCTTGACGTTTGAAGAACGCTGATTTGGGCTGTTTATTCAGATGCAATACGGTAATTGGATTGAAAATGGCGGCCCCGGGTGATGGCACCGATCCTCCGCCTCCCGGCACTTTCTTTCCGACAGAAGGTTTGAATCGGTAATGTGGAGGGAAGGAGACGGCCGCCCCCGACTAATACAGGATTGATGAAAAAAAAAGCTGTTCTTTTGTTGCAGCAACTTCAGAAATGTAATTCCCCTGCTAAACTCCCACCGTGGAGCCACAAGCGCGCTTTCTATAATCAAGCCTCCTGCAACTCGGCTCTGTGTCTCCTACAAGCGGCGGCGGCGGGAATTGATGTCGAAGCACTCATCAAAGCCCGACTACGCCAGCTGCTGTCCGACCGGCTGTTGGAATGACGCCTCCTTTGTAGTTGCTACCTTTTTTGACCCCCAAATTCTTTGCCCCCCCCCCCCCCCCCCCCACCGGCCGCCCTTCCAACTCCCTGACCCGCACCCCTCTTCTCCTTCCCTCGGGCCTGTCTCCTGAATGCTTTTCGGCAGCGACTTCCGAATGCGGATCCCTCAACCCATAAACAAGAGCAGCAGCAACTCGCCTCGCAGCAGCAACACAGCGGCTACTGCTTCCAACCCGTTCCTACCGCCAACGTCTCCTTCGGGCTGCCGTTTGGTCACACGACAGGCCAGAGTGGCATGCCAAAGGGAAGCGAATGGCACGTCGTTAAGCTAAAGATTGGCATCAGCTCTACGTTAATACACATGCACACACGCCCTCGTAGGGCAGCGTTGAGGAGCAGCCCGATGAGAGCCGATTATACAATGGAGCTGGGCGGGAGGTCGCTCAAGTGTTGATGGCGTTGGAGAAAGTGAGGCCAGGCGGGAGATCAGTGGTGTGAAAGGGGGAGATAAAAAAAATAATGGGGTAAAGGTAATGTGACACGGGGAAGGCGGGTGAGGGCGGCTCCGAGCCGCGGCGCGGCGTTCGTTGCAGCGGCCCCCGGTCAAGAGGACATACCGCTGCGTCTAACTTTTAGTATCCGCTTAATGGATACAGCCCTGAGAGCCCCACAGGCGGAACGTGAGGCTTCTAATGGCCGACGTCCTCTTCTCCCTTAAGCGTTGTCGAAGGCAGCGAAGGCTCCCTTTAATTTGTTGTATCTGCCTGTCATGTCGGCGCCGCTCTCTTTCCTAACTTTTCACCTTTTGCACCGTGATCTTTTGCTCCCGTTTTCTTCTCTTGCTTTTTGAATTTTTTGTTGCCTAACCCAGATCACGCCACCTTTTTATTATTTATTTATTCTTCCTCCTTTCTGCCCCCCACCTCCTCCTCCTCCTCCCCTCCCCTGTAGCACAGTAATGTTCTCAGAAATTACAGTGAGGTAAACAGAGCAGGGTGTCGAAATGAAACAGCTACCGGGCTGTCAGCTCTGGCGAGTTGGCCATCCGTCAGCGCAAAATGACACGTCCCTCCCCCCCGTCTCCCCATCGCACCCCCCCCAGCCTCCACCCCTCCTCCTCCTCTGTCACACACACAGTTGGGTTTCCTGTCCTCCTTGTGGCAAGGTGAAGGAATTATGCTCATGAAAGACGCTGCGCAGCCTGGAGCCTTTCCATTAGCCTTCTACGACACCGGTCAATGGCGAGGAGACAGACACAAATGCTCACACACACACACACACACACAAAGCAAAAAAAAGACCCGGGCAAGGCATTGCACTATATAGATTTGATGGAACAAACCCACACACGCAATTATTCTGAGATGGAATACCTACACACACACACACACACACACACACACACCTACACAAACCTTAATTACCGCTTTGTTCACCGCCTGACAGCGGAGCGTGTGCGATGGTTGACATTAAAGGAAATTAAATCTCCTTGTGGAACGGGGCGGCCCATCTCACCTCCCGTCAGAATGCTCCCATTTCCACTCCCCCCACCTTAACCTTCTCATCTGGGTATTTAGGGCTTTGTGGCGCGGAACGCCATCAAAGAGGAAACGCAGCGCGGCGGACCGCGCGGAGACGAGGCCTCTCCGCGATAATCCCCCCCAGAAAACGGAGCCTTCTGCTATTAGCCCACGCACACAGTTGCCTCTTTGGGTCCTGTCGCGCTTCTCCTTCCACGCGTGTGCCGCCACATGCGTGTGGGAGAATCGTCTCTCACTGCACAAACTCTCGTATGGTTGGCTTAACCGAGTGCTGGTGAACTCTTTGATGCAGACCTCCTGCCTGTATTGCAATAATACATTTGCCATAATCCTCAAAAACTTTGCACAGCTACACTTAGAGAGTGACACGTGTGTGTTTTTAAGGGCAGATTTCATTAAGCCTCATTCGATGCCAAATCTTCTGTTATTCAGACTCTTGTGAGGCCTTTGACAAACCTGCAGAGGAGGGCCGTAAGCGACAAAGTTGGGTAATTGAGTTCCTTGTTTAAAGGAGAAAGAGCTGCGTTTTTCAGGCATGGGCTTTCTCCCACAGGCTTTAATCAGATCAAACATGTCCTCTCAGATAAGACAGCTAATTAATCAGGGGAGGGACCAGTCTTCTCCTCTGACAGATGGAGAGACGGTAGCTGGTGGAGGCGCTTCCTCTTCCTTCCCCTCTTCCTCCGTCGTCAGCGAGGAGCAAAATAAGACGGAGGGAGACGTTGTCGCCTCTGGCGAAGCAGAGAGTCTGTAAAGGTTCTCAAAGGCCGTGTTTACATGCAGGCGGCAACGGAAGTATCTCGACAACCCCCGACTGAGAAGAAGACAGACTTCTGTGCTGAAGTTGCTGTTTACAGTACTGCATCTGCGTGTGAGAAAAGATCACTGAAGATCCATGTTTCTGGTCTTTTTAAAGGCATTTATTTGACGCTAAATCAACCAAAATCAAAGTACTGCTCAGCATGTATCCATGTGGATTAGGAATAAAAAAACATTGCAGCAGTTATGTGAATATTGCAAATTCTATTTGGGAAGTTCTCTTCAACTTGACTGTACTTAACGTAACATCTTTAAGAAGACATTGTGTTGTGTAAAACACTTTAATGAGTAGTGTGCCCACGCAAGCCAGAAACCGTTTCAGTGTTTTACATATTAAGATGGCAAAGATGCATGTGTTTGGGAAGTGGTAAGCACATCGCTAAATGAGACTTTGATTGTACCGCACAAGTTTTGCGTGGGTATGCAAGAAAAAATCTCTCTTGCACCACGGGCTGATAAATGGTGTACAAATCATTTTGTGTGGGAAGTATTCCTTTAAGATTTACTCTCAGATCCACTTTTTAATATGGAGCCCAACTATTACACAGATATTGCCCCCCCCCCACTGTTCACGTTATTGATGTAAACTGGATTAGCATTCAGGCTGAGAGCGCATTGTATTCTTCTCATTGATTTCATTAAATAAATACGTTTCAAGTGCAGTTCACAAAGGCAGCCCCCGGTCACCCGTTCACCATCATTAATCATCTTTAAGTTGAATACTTCCTTTTGACTGACAATGAATTCGTAAATGGAGGGTCCGAGATGAACCCTCTGCAAATACCAGTGAAAGGAAACGGGACGTTGATCCATTTAAAGTGTTCACTCATCCCGTTACGCAAGTCACCAACAACAGCATGAATCCCTTTCTGTAATATTGCTTCTTACCAATGTAGACTTTAAAAACCGGGCCTGCCTGCCATGGATGAAAAGTTTGGACACCTGGATGTTGGATAAAAAAGGCGACGAATGAGACGTGGAGGCAGATCCGATTTTCTTACTTCCTGGATGGATTGATTGCAACTTGTTAAAAAACGTGCCGACGTGCAAACAGCATCATAAGAGATGCGGATGACATCATGTCGTTTCAGGTGACTTTTGGCTGTGTTGCAGCATTGATGGATGGACAGATGGTTGACTTCCGTGGTGGCTCCCTGACACAGTGACTGATTGGCTGCTGGGACTGCGGCTGCTGTTTCCAGCTGTTCTAGCACACTGGGCCCACCTAAGGCTCAATCCACTGCCAGCTGTGCAGCTTCACCTAGCTAGCAGCAGCCCCTGGGCAAGACAAGGAAAACGCTTGTTTAAAGTACAAACTACACAGCTTTTCACTCTCTATTCCTCGTATCCCCGTGTTCCAACACGTTGTTGCATTAGATGGTCTGAGCAGCTGTCGGTAGTTTAAGCGAGAAGTCTGCGTAAAAGGGACCTAGACCCTCGTTGGAAATTCATTTTGATGAAGTGAGCGCTTTAATGTGCGACCGTCAATGAGGTCAAGCGCCACGTGAGCTTACGACACACGTCATGGCAACAGAACGCAGGGTTTGTGCATTTTTCCTGATTCCTACTTGTTGGTGATACATTATTTCTCATCTTTTCCTCTCCTCCCCCCACCCCCCACCCCCTCCTCTCCTCTATTTGTCCTCCCCTACTATTCTCACTCCTGGCCCTGCAGCAACAGGAGCAGGACCCCACCAACCTGTACATCTCCAACCTGCCGGTGTCAATGGATGAGCAGGAGCTGGAGAACATGCTGAAGCCTCTGGGTCACGTCATCTCCACGAGGATACTGAGGGATGCCAACGGGGTCAGCAGAGGAGTCGGCTTCGCCAGGTACACGGCCGTGAGGCTCCGGGAGCTTTTTTGAGTGGAGATGTGCCCTAAGAGTACACTTGAGTCCCATTTTAATTCCACAATTACCAGACACATTTGTTGTGGTTTTGTGTTGCCTCCCTTCTGGTAACAATAAATGGTTTGCAAATGGATTAGACCCATGGTAGTTGTGCAAACGCTCTCGCAAGTGCACAGACCCAAGTGCACACGAACGGACCCAAATAAGTAAACATGCGCTGGCATGAAGGCACACACTTGTACTTACTATGTGCATACACACATTGCCTCTAAAAATAACCTTTTCCAATGAATCCTGCCTTCATGAAGTGGAAACTTTGAACAGTGATTTGTTTGACAGCGTGTCTGCCAGTGGATGAGTTTGTCTTTGTTCATGTCCGTGCATCAAAGTGTGTTTGTTTCTTTGTATGACCACACATGCCTAAAGGCTCTCGGAGATAAATGTGTTTACGAGAACCATACTGGGTTCTTTGGTTTGACCCTATACAAAAACCCCTATGAGAGGTTCTGCCGAAGGCCTTTCGATGGTGTAATGGTGCCAGCCAGAAGCTTCTCTGTGGGTCTAACAAGAAGACATGCACTGAGAACATTTTTTACCAAAGGCTTAATCTAAAACCCACCCATGGGGTTTTTCCAGTTACCCTTTGAATGGCAATCATCTAGAGGCCATCCAGTGGAGTTCTGCTGAGAACCCTTTTACCTTTCATGGGTTTCATCTAGAACCCATCCTGTGATTTTCTCCAGTTACTGTTTTAAATCAGTCTCATGTAGAGCGCCTGCAGGGGAGGTGGCTTTTAACAGGTCAAACCATTTCTTCCAAAAAGGGCTTTTCAGAAGCAGAGAGTTCCGCCTCAAACCCTCAACCCTTATATTCAGATCCAAGCATTGATTAGTACTCTAATGGATGCTTGGGCCTGTACATTCTCACATACCTGCACTTAACCCCTTGTCCAGAGTAGCCAGGGCTGCTATATTTCCACCAGCAATCCAAACACTGTATGGTTTATTACGTTTTCTACTTAGAAAAGTTTCCACTGCTTGTTAATCCCCCAAAGTCATAAACCGCTCTGTCCTTGTCCTCGGCAGCAGCCACCAGGCTTTCGTTCCTCTCCACACATTCCTCCCTTGTTTACCCAGAGGAGGCCACAGAGCCGCCATCTTGCAGGGATTTTTCTTAATCACTTGCTCTGGCTGAACTCCTCTCCTATTCCCTGCTCTATTACGGAGGTTTACAGCAGGACTGACGAGCACGAACGCACACAAACAGTGCACAAATACGAGCATATGCACGGACCGGCCTCGGCGCGGGTGCGTGCACGTGTGCACAATCCACCAACAGGCACATTAGTGAGCGAGCGCTCACTCGTACGCATACAGAAAGGCAGGCAGCCTCCTGTGGACCAACAAGCCGAGCGCAGCAACAACCTGCCACAGGCCACCTGTTCAAGCAGACCTCCGTGGGGGAACCGAGACATGATGGAAAAGGGCCGAGAGAGAGAGGGGACAGGAGTGTGAAGCAGTGGCCGGGCAAAAAAAAAAAGAACTAATCATAGAGGTTATTATACAGAGAGCGATAAGGTGATGGGAAGGAGAAGTCGGTATGAGACTGATAGATTGAGGAATATAAAGTGAAATGAGCAGGTGTGGGCGTCTGGAAAAAAAAAAACACTTTCTGTTAGATGTGGTTAAGGGAAAAAAAAAGAAAAAACTGAGCGGTACAGAAGGTATTATTGTGTAAGTGCAGATCAGAAAAAGAAGCTCGAAAGAGATTCGGCACAAAAGAGATCAATGTGTCTCATGAAGTGCCGAGGCCCCTGTCCGTTGTGTCAACAGACGGACAGCTGCTGAGGGTTGGGCCACCAGGGGCATTAGAGAGAGTAAACCGAGCTAAGTGTTTGTGGGCCGATCCATTACCGTTATCAGAGCCCATTACTCCGGCCCCGGCGCTAATCATTGCCGACAGCAGCACCTGATGCCATTAACCGGCAGCACACGGAGAGAAGCCGGCCTGCCCGCCCGCCGCCCACCTGACTGAACGGCAGCCGCGGGCGTCGGTGCCGACAGTCTGGACGGCCGGCTTGTTGTCCCGGCGAACGGCTCACAGCCCGTCGGCCCTATTAGCTCCTCGTCTGCCCACCTGTTGTCTGGCTACCTATTCCTACTTGAAAGAGTGCGGGAGAGACGGCGTCGAGTAGGAGGCGAGCGCTGCGACGGGGGGCCAGAGGGCGCCTGAGGAGGACGATGGAGAGCGCCGGAGAATGGCGAGGGAGGGCTGAGCACCAACGCGTCGGGTCGAGAGGATCGCTTCAAACTCTGGAGGGCGGGTGACGGGTTCAACATGACTGTCCGCCGCTTTCTAAGGATACAAACATAACATGCCAATGCAAATAATCTCAAGTGAGCGTTTTTCTTTTATTTATTTTTTGAATATGCAGTACATCGCTACATAAATCACAGTTTGTCTAAGCACTAAGTGGAGCGTGCACTGTGTAGGGTATTGTTGGGCTTTAGTGAAAGAGAAGAAAAGCGATAAAGACGTTAGCGTTGGCTCCCTGCAGCTCCTCTCTGTCACTGGGCTGTGAAGGCCTTATCGAAGGGTGATTGGCATGTTTGTGTAACCGTGTTGTGTGTTTGTGAACAATAGCAGCTCCAACAATGTTGCAGTTGCAAATGACAGAGTCAAATAAATAAACACACAACGGGTTGTATAGTGTTCAATACATGGAATAACACAATCGGACAATTAAATAAAGTAAGAAATAAAAGACTAGTGTTATATTACTTCAGTTTCTGGTCACTCACTAACATTTAAATACACTATAATGTTATATAATACATTATAATGATACCCTAAGGGATCATTAAATTGCTTAATTTAAAGGGATTTCTTTAAGATATGCAAGCAAACTTGTATTATAGAACCATGTTTTGCCTCAGTACCCCATGAGCACTTAGAGTATCTTAATCAAGTAATGCTTTATTCTAACGTGATTGTAATCACGATGAAGTATTTATGTAATGCATCATAGACGTATCATAGAACGTGTAATGGTAAAATATGTTATAACATTGTTTTGTGCTAAAGCCGTGTCTTAAGTGTCCTGTATTTGACCCTGATGTGCAAAGAGCAGCATGATACAAAACGTTAGTTTGCAGCTGTGCCCTGAGAAGGGAGGGCGGTCGACTCGATCTCATTGACGCTTCAAAACAAAGGACTTCTGTTCATGGCCTTAGTTCATCTCTTATTCCGTACGAAAGTTCCGGATCTACGTTTTACTTTATGTCAATTAATTATGATTTGCACCGGCCACTGAGGAGGATCTTGTGTGTGTGTGTGCGTGTGTGTGTGTGTGTGTGTGTGTGTGTGTGTGTGTGTGTGTGTGTGTGTGTGTGTGTGTGTGCGCTACCCTCAGCTTCACCTGGGTTCTTCAACCTGCTTTGCAGCTTCTCGTAACTGGCACGGAGAACGTTTTTCACATGTGTATAAAAACTCTGCGTTTTTACTGCTCGGAGACGCCATTTCCACAGAGCACCGTGATACGTGCCGGTGTATTTGACCTTCTGCTTGCAAGCAATAAATGGACTTTTTGCAACTTTGATCATTCATCAAGACTCTGTTTTATCAGACAAATCATTCTCTTCTACAGAGCTTTTATTGAAATATTCCACAACAAACGTTCTCCAAAACATCTTTTTTTTATTGTTTGTATTGTATTTATACCTGTGAAGGTCTCCATGTCTTTTCTGTCAGCAGAATAGTTTTATACAAAGTAGAAGTGAATATTAAACCTGAATGGCGGTGACATAATTGTGTCATTACCACTAACTGTAGAGCCAGGCACTGAAACGTATTACTCTCTTTTCTTTGATCAAACTGTTGTAATATTACCAGTGTTACCATGCACGGCCTATTCACGGCGGCTTGTTTTTGCACATTGGATTTGAAAGGACTCATTCGTTTTATTAAATCAACAACTACGTAATGAATGAAACATTTCACACCATACCCTACCTTTATTTACGTTCTTTATTTAATCAGATGAAGAAGGGCTGGGCCCTGATCTAATTTCTGGATGCCAGTTGACCACCATGAATATATGAGATATATATATATATATATATATATATATATATATAATATATTATCAAACACAATGAGGGGCAGAAGGAAAAGAAAAGCGCGATATGGGGGGGTGGGATGGCTGATGCCAGGAAGTGTGAAAGATTACTTATTCTAAAAACAGAGTAGGGAAAGCAAAAGAGAGAAAAATGTTGATGGTGATCACAGAGAAGCAAATGGACGGGAAGAAAAAGGGGGGTCACCCAAAGTGAGAGAGATGGAGCGGGGAAGAGAGTCGAGACAGAGAGAGAGGGGGTAATGCTGAAAGATGGAGGAAAAAAACAAAGTTGAAAGACGCCGAGAAATAAGAGAGACGTCAAAAAGAAGAGGTGCAGACGGGTCGGGAGTAAGATGGATGTGACGGAGAGCGAGATAAAGAAACTATGGTATCAAAAAAAGGGAAAGAAGGATGAAGGTAGAGATGGGAGAAGCGTGAGAGAGACAGAGGACAGAGAAGCGAGAGGCTGACAGGAGAATATGAGAATTCTGGGAGGTGAGAACGAAAAAAGAATGAAAACGTGGAAAGCGATAAATTCTGCACATTCCAAGGGCCCATTACCAGAAGCACAGGCGCAGCAATCACTCAGGCCCGCGTTGAAAAGCCTATTTTAATATGAGTCCTCTGTGAGTAATCTGCATGGTAACATATGTACACTGGCTGCAAATGAATGCACAAAGCGGTGTTTGTAAGAACATTTTACGCAGAGGACGAGATCCCCCCGACTCCACTTGTGCCACAAGGAGATCTACTGTCTTTGTGTGGTTTTTGTGAGAATATCTCAACAAAATGTGGATGAATCACGTTCTCCCCAGGATGACTTGTAATAACTTCATTAGACTCAGGGCTACTAATGTAGCGCCCTCAGCGCGTCACAAATACCCACCGGCTCTCTGCTTAAATTCATGGCCGAATACCCGCAAAACCAATGTGCTTTTTGCGCTGTGGAGCATTGTCCTCATGCGTGCGGGTTATTTGTGCCCGTGTGCTTATGATGTGAGAGATCAGGGCCCACCTGCTGCTCAGCTGCTGGGCCCCGTAGACTTTTCATCCAGTAGCTGAAAGAGGGGAGGCGAGTGAGTCAGCTTCTCTCTCTCTCTCTCTCTCTCTCCCTCACGAGCACACTTCATACCTTCTTATCCCCCTTCTTCTACATCGTCCCCTGCATTCCCTTCCGCTTGTTCCTTTCTCTGTACTCATTATGAACTTCATGACGTTCCCCAGCACACAGACACACTGACGCTGGGAAGGGTCCCGATTTTATTTCAGAATAAACAGGGTGATACCACCCAGCCAGCGGGACACATTCAAAATAGAAACAGGCGATGTTGAGTTGCTTATGACTGCAGCACCGCCCACCCTGATATATCGGAGTTGACAAACGGTATCTTGGTGTCGGTGAGAAATAAACTGTGTCTCCTGCCCGGGGTATTCTTATCCATTTGTGATAGTTAGTGTGTAGTGCCACCAAGAAGCCTTCATTCATACCATAAAAATGTCATTATATTCCCCACAAGCTGTTTGTATTATCCTTTAGTGTCAACATTAAGCTCATTTGTTTTCCGAGTGTTTTTAAATGAAACCCTGTGTGTCTCTTTGTTTCGTTGCAGGATGGAGTCCACAGAGAAATGTGAAGTAGTGATACAGCATTTCAACGGCAAATACCTGAAAACCCCACCCGGCATTCCAGGTGAGTCTCCCATCCTCTGCCTGTCGTTGTTCTTGCCTCACCCCTTTCCTCTCCTTCTTTGGAAAACCATCATCGCCATCGCTGTGAGAACTCTCCCTTCTGATTCGCTTATGGTAATTTCTCATGGTGGATCTGCTGGACAGCTTGATAGATTGTGTACGCTGTTGTTTCTGACACCTGAAGCCGGCTGTCGTGACTATATGGCGGATTCTGTAGGTATCCTCCCTCCCTCCCTCCCTCCCTCTCTCCCTCCCCCTCTCCTCTGCCACCATCCCTTTCCCTCCCTGGAGCCGTCGCCGCTGTAGGCTGAAACTTCTCGGGCAGGAGAAAGCCCTCTTAATATTCACACTCACGCCTCTGTGCTGTTCTTTGCAATCTACTTAAGAGCTCGCACTCCCCCCTTGCTCCTCTCGCGCTCCTGCTCTCGCCGCCGTGTCCTCTCTCCCCCCGTCTCTTCTCTCTCGACGGTGGAACAAGCGGCCAAGGAGAACGCAGGCGGGTAAGAGAGCTGAAAAGAAAGAACGTCTGGAGATCCAGACATGATGCATAATGCTGTGCGGCTTTAGCCGGTCCAAAGTGGCATCGCTGTCCCCTGAAGTTCAGAACCGATTGAGACATCGGAAATGCTGGAGAGGGAGCGAGTCTCTGTGGGGGCGGAGGTGACCACAGGTGTTGGGCAACAAAGGAAAGGAAGGGTAGAAGGAGAGCAAAGATGTGAAAGAAAGAAAGGCCGGGGATGAAGAAACAACCTGCCGCCTGAGCACTTTTGAGGCCAAGTGCTGCGGCGTCCGCTGGTGCCCGTGAATCCCGGCAGGACGTGTGGAGGGGGGGCAGGGGAGGGGGCACTGAGGGCAATACCGACGAGATTTCCTTCACCCCGGTGGCAATTTTATTAACAATACTCACCCCTTCTACCGGCTCGCCCATAAATCGCTCCTCCACTAGACGGTAATGTCTCAGAGAGACTGAATTTAGAATCTCCACACACACACTGCATAGCCAGCAGCCATTAAAGGCAAGGTGAGCGGTTATATTGAAGTTTAGCCGTAATAGGAAACCTTTAAAGCTGTAATATCAGGCTGACCTTCCCCTTTAAGGGTCCGTCTCCCGCGCGCTCGGGCTTTATTGTTGTTAATGGATTGTTCAGGCTTGTTCAAGCTTGTGCCAAGCGTGAAGATTTACGGTCCCGACCGAGGAAATCCTTCTGTGGAATTAAGAATAGTAAGAAGTCTACAAGGCCTGGTCCGGTCTGGTGCTACTATGGTCCCACCCGTATGTGCACACGCGGGACCGGCTCTGTCTTTGAAGATTCTATTGATCCTTTTGTTGTTGATGTTTGTGATTTAAGGAAACATCTAGCATTATCAAATCCCAGATTTGGAATTTATATTTATAATCTTTGCCACTATTTCGGTCATATATTTGAACAAATAGCCTTAAATGTGTACTTGTGTGTGTGAGCACAAGTGTGCACGTTATGTGTTCTCATGCCATGCACAACATTCACATTTATGCATTTTAAAGCTGGAGCGCACACGCTGTATTTGTGTGCTGTGCATGTGTTTGTGTGTGTCATGTCGGTGGTATTTCCCCAGAGCCCCTTGCTATGCAGGGCAGCTTCTTCATCCATCCTGCTTTGACAGTTCAGTGCCCCCCCCCAAAAAAACACCCCGGGGGACCCTCGCCACACACAGCACAGCAGGAGCGTGCACGAGTTTCCTTGTGTGACAGCTATGACTGCTACACTCTCTGAGCACATGCGCACACAAACCGGCCACAAATACAGTCACGCACTGCTGACTTTGACCTGTGTGGAATGTCAACATCCACATAATGCTAATGAGATCCCTTTTTTTCACTCGATTTAGCTTTTGAAACACAGTCCACAAAGTTACTGTGGTAGCACAGATACACACGCACGCTCGGCGAGGAGCGAGCACGCGTGCTTGTGCACACGCGCTCACCAATCCTCTCAAGCCCCTATTTGACAAGCCTTTGCATTTTCAGCTTAGCTACTCAATCAGACTGTGTCAAGGCGTGTGTGTGGGTGTGTGTGTGTGATGGGGGTTGGTCTTGTTATAGCTATCCTCTTCTACTCAGGTGTGTCCAGTGGCGATAGAAAAGGATATTGAGTTGTATCCTTACCAGGAAGCAGATATCTGGGTGTCAGGTCATCTGTTAAATTAAACGGAAACAGAGTCAATTGGCAGGAGGTTAGCGCTGAGTCGTGGATAGCGCCGCGGTGCACGGAGGAGATGCAGGTGCAGAACACAGGAGTGCAGCGATGCTAGCAGACGGAAGCTAATGGCGCCACCGACAGCTCACATACACCTCCTGTTTAACTTTTAATGTAATAACGTGATTACATGAGGTGTTGAGTTGATGTTACAGAGTGGGAGGGATGATAGCAGATGGTAAGCTAATGAAACACCTTACCCATTATTACTATTAAGTTTTAATGAAACCATTTCTAATTTCCTGGCGGTAACATGCACTTTTGATTTGTGTTTGTGACCCAGAAGTGTCAATACAATAAGGAATTAGTTCTTGCCGTGCTCTTGAATTTGAATGCCAGTCCATGCATGACAGCGAGCTCTGCAGAAACAAGTGCAATGTCGCTGGTACCTAATCAGCTCTCCTGGCCGGGTTTGTTTGGCGAAGGCCTGGTTGATATGAGAGCTGCGTAGTGAGGCGCAGAGGCCTGCCCCAGCCTCTGCTCTGCCCACGTCTGATTGTGATTCGGAGAGAGGGAGATGATCGATAGCCCTGATGGAGCACTACAGCTGTTAAGCTATTCTGTGCAATGCGGCAGCCGCTCTCTCCTCGTCGCTGCGGCCGGCTGTGAGCGCGCACACAAAGTCATCCACATACTCCCTGTGAAGGAGGTGCACGTGTACACAAAGGTGTGTGTATTCTCACCTATAGACACTCATACTGCATGCATTATTTCACATGCACATGGCAGCAGCACGTGTGACTATAAGTACTTAAAATATACACAACACAAGAAAATCCTTTCTGAGAAAGGATCCACTTTGTAGTTGGAGGTGAGCAATCTTTAGAGGTATCCTTGTTTTTCAGTGCATGTGGATTTACACAATACTGAATAAATAGAATTTATGAAATGTGACTACAGCAATAAACCATAGTGAAGTGAGCCCAACAGGGACGCATTATGATTTACACTGCAACCCTGAGCACTGGGAAAGTCAAAGGAAGCGCGGATAAAAAGTGATTTAATCCGCTGGCTCCACTGAGCCTGGCTGATTAAAGCCCTTCGTCCCACAATGCATTAAACAGCTTAGAGATGACACCCTATGGTAAATGTAATTTAAACCGGAGATACATTAGCCATTGTTTGGTTTTGGCAGGTGAGTAATCTCACGTACATTCCGTATTGTGAGTGAGCCGTGGCAGGGAGGAAATTGGTAGCAGTTGATGCATGTTCTGTGCCGCTCCGGCGAATTGCCGCTCTTGCAAATCAACTTCTTGCCTTTGTCGGCAATCAAACAACAGCTAAAAAAAACCCAACAAGGTGCATGTCTTCAGAACGGCTAGACACAAGTAGTGTCAGTGCCAAATGACAGCACCGGACTTGATGGAATCTTGCATGAATGCCCGACTGTGCCAATGGAGATGGAGACACTGCAGCTTCTTCCTTTCCCCTTTCGTTGCGCTGCTGCCAATGTGGCAGCGGACCCCAGAGTCGGCTCCAATATTGTCCATTAGATGCTGGATAAATAATGGAAACCACATCGGGAAACAACCACAGTGGCCCATGTACACGGGGCCAATGGGAAACTTTCATTATGCACAAGCTTGTACAAGGATCGTATTCGAATGTGAACATAAATAGTGGTTTAGGACCACTTTAAACCCCCCCCCCTCCATTATGAACGGGATCTCAGGATTTCTTGTGAGAGATGATCGGGATGACGCGGAGGCTTTTTGTTACAACTTTAGTTTCCAGGCTTGGTTAAGCACGTTTCATGGGGGGGGTTACTATTTAGCAAGTCTCCCCCCCCCCCGCCGTCCCCCTTTTTCAAACAAAACAGAGCACCGACTAGAAGACGTAATTTGCCGCTCACAATGGAGGGGGAGAGCTGTTGGGGGGGGGTGTTGTTCCCTCCCGGTTGGCGTCTTCGCCAAGGCAACGGTGCCGAGACAGCCCACGGTATTAAAACGTCCCTCGCTGAGTTAAGGAGGGTCCCAATTCACTTGTCACAAAAAGCCCCTTCTGAAACTGTCAGTCATACACGAGTAATCCATGTTAATTTCTGCAGTCCCTCCCACATTCCCCTGGCTAATAACGGGCCTGTCAGCGGGCCCGTTTCCCCGATGGCGTGTAGATTTAGCCAAGTAGGTTGGTGGCTCGGCTGCCTGCTCGCTGCCAGGATACATTGTTCCCGTGATGCATCCCTGTGCTGATCTTTGAAATTGTTTATATCTAATGTTTGCCTTCCTCTTGTTTGACAGAAACAAAAGGTCAAATGTGTTGTGTATCGATGATTCGCTTACCGCCGCCGTCACCCGGTGTGAACCGGCCATTTTTCTGTCTCTGTTTGTGATACGCTGCGACAATCTGACAGCTTTTCGATATACGGTGCTACGGATAATAATTATCCACCCGTCCTCGCTCTCAAAGGCGCTTCTCAGGATATTGCATTGTAATGAAATCTGTCGTCTTAGCATGAACCCCCCCCCCCACCCTCTACCCCTCTACCCGTGACTCCCCCCGCCTCCCATTACAGGCGGCACACACAGGACGTTATTATTGGCATACCCAGTAAATCAGACAGCTTCCTGAAAAAGGATCAATTTCCCCCGATGCACTTTCTCATTATAGCCTTATCTCGCCCACAGACAATAATCTGGATTTGTCACGCTTTGTTTGTTTTGCCGCTGAACTGTATCAATCATGAGCGGAGCCAGTGGTTCGGAGAGTGGAGGGCGAGGAGAGGAAGGTGCCCCCTCTCAGTGGATCCTCCGCTGAAATATAA